GATACATGGGGGACAGGTAAGGATAGTGTTAACTGTTGTCTTTGCTGTCCATTTTACTCATTCACAGGAGCCTTGCAGAGAACAGCTCATAGCTCTGTCTCTGCCAGCCTTCCAGTTCCTTTCTCAGAAAGCACTCTGAGCTCTCCTGCCAGAGAGAGTTGGCACCTGATCCCTCCTCACCCTCGGCCTGCAGAGACACCCTCTTCTCTGGCCTAGTGGCCCAAGCCCTGAATTTGCATGGGCTCACCTGGGGGAAGGACGTGAGCACCTGCCCCCACTCTCTACTCTCTGCACTCATGGAGGGAGGCAATGGCACAGATAATCCAAGGAAGCTGAGAGTGCAAAACCATTTCACATGTTTTGCACGATTTCTTCTGGAAGGGGATTTTTAGTCCTAATTTGGGTTCCACCAAAAGGATACTGGCATCAGTTTGCATCCTCTGAAGGCCTTCGGCTTAAGAGCAGATTGAAGGAGGGTGCCAGTGTCCCGGAATGAAACCAGCCTTGCAGAGTGGATAATCAAAAAACACAGAACTGGCAAATTGCCATATGTGCACATGTGTCACAGCTGGAAGAAGGAGGCCATGATGACAGGGCAGGTGCAGAGGAAAAGGGAGAAACCAGCGTGTGTGATGGTGAGTAGATTGGAAGCTGGAAAAAGATACTTGAAACCCACAGAACCCAGGCCAAGTCTCCTCCTTCTCACTCTTGACCACATCGGTCTCTTCAAGCAAAGAGCTGTACAGAGGTGGCCCCCACACCCCATGCCTGGTTCTGTGGGGATCCATGTTTCATTTCTGTCTCCTGGATTTTATGCTCTTCTCAGACAAAATGAGGAAACATTTTTCATCATTCCCTGCCTGGGTGACATCAGGAAGCCAGGAGGGAGGCTGAGTTAACCAATGAATCCCTCTGTTTCTAACAGACATAATCGGGGCTTCTCCAGCTCTCACTAGAATCAGCCCCAAATCCTTAGTGATGTCCAGAAAAGAGACTGTCCATTAGCCTTGGGCTGATTTACCTCCGGCTGGAAGTCTTTTAAGCCAGATCTGATCTCTTTGTGAGCCAGTGTTCATCAACGTGAGCTTCCCCAGCGTAGAACGTGGGGTATGGCATCTGGGGATCCGTCCCTCCCTGACCCGTGGGAGGGAGGGCTGAAATATTGAGTCCAGTTCCCATCCTCATCATCTCCCCAAATAAGGAAATGCTCAGGATGAGCCAGTATGGACTGGAACCAGGGAGACCCTCAAGCCAGCACAGGACTCCTTTGTCAGTCCACTTTCTCATGAGAGTGCAAACCGCTCGCTTGTTGTTGGAAATGAGCAGGCCCAGCACTCTAGCCGGCTAGACTCCACATGAGTAGACCCTAGTTCATTGGTGCTCTCGATTTTCCCTGTAAAGATGTGCCAAATAGAGAAATAATCCAAAATCTCTCTGCTTGTTGGAGCCTGGTCCATGATCCTGGGCAGAGAGAAACCTCTAAAGCCAAGGGGCCCTCCAGCAAGCTTTGTCAATCAACCACAGGAGAGTTCAATAGGAGGCCAGGCAGCATTTGGGCTTCTCACCTAAACGGGCTGCCTGGTGTTTAATATTTTGTAAAATTGCCTCCATTAATTTCGTAGGTGACAGCTGCATTAACCCACCCAAATCATCACAAGCATATTAAAGTTGAGTGGGTGTAATAATGCAGGCCTCCCCGGATAGGCAGAAACCAGTGCAAATTAAACACGAAATGTAACGAGGGCTTTGCAGCTCATTTTGTAATTTAATTGAGCAATGTATCTGGTTGTTAATGGCAATATCGGACACATTAGATTGATATGGTGCAAAGGAAGAATGTTTAAGTAGAAAACTAATTCCTGCTGTGATTACCCTTCTGTTCCACGGGCCCCGTTATTAGCATGCTTTGTGTAAAATTCATTAGCTGTCGTTGCTTGATCTCTAAATAAATAAGTTGTTTAAATTGTGAGTAGGGAAAAAAAAGAGGCTGATTATGTAAATGAATGAGGTTGTCAATATTTCATTTCCAGATTGCTTTTCTGGGGCTGTAGATTCGGTCACCCGAAAAATGTAGTGGGCTAGGGAATTGCCGTTCTGAGGAGCTTAGGGTTCAGGGCTCTGTCCAGTCCTGCTAGGCAGGAGGGAGCAGGAATGTTTGAAAAGGAGCAGGTATCAGGAGGTATCTGGTTTGAGTTTTTTCACCCGACATTTGAGAGACATTCGAGGCCAGCAAAGCACAGAGACTTCTGGAGAAATCCATTTGCAGGCTGAACAGGGGCTGGCAATTCAGATAGTGATTATTCAGGTCTTCAGCTGCTCTTTTCCTCCCTTCTGCCGCAGTTTCCCTCCTTCCCTTCCCCCATTCTACTTCTCCTCCTTCTGTCTTCTACTTTCCATTCCTTCTCCAGACATCCCTTTCTTTTTTGCCTCTTCTTCCCTCTTTTTTCTGCTCTCTTTCCGTTCATGAGGCCTCAGATTGACTGACATGTGACAAGATTTGCAGAAAGACAATCTGGGGTCATCTTGGCCCCATGCAGGCTGCGTGAGCTTGGAGCAATTGCCTCACTTGTCCCATGGCAGCCTCCTTAACTCCAAAGTGAGGGTGATGAGAATATCTGCTGCTCCAGGGGCTGGGGACAGGCTCTGGGGCCTGAACAGCTGGAAACCCCTCGGTATATGGTGCCCACGGCTGGTGTTGTCCTCATGATCCCTGCTGCCCCATTATTCTACCAGATCACTCCTTTACACAGTGGCTCTGAGAGGAGACAGCTGGCGGCATCTTCTTAGGAAGGAAGCACTCAAGGCCAGACCCCAGTCACTGTCCTCTTCTCCTTGTCATTGTGGGCACAGAGCAACGAAAGCACAGAAGACAGACAAGGACACCCCAGTCTCAAGTTGCCAAAGCTGGTGCCCCACACACTGGCTGCTCTCATCCGCCACATACTTGCTAGCTGGCCCTGCCACATCCACGAGGGTCTGGCCACTCATCCTCACCGTAAACAACTGAGTCACCCAGACACAGAATCTCTCTGCCCTGTCTATAGAAGAATACTTCCACTCCCATGATCCTCCAGAATACATAATAAAGAAGTTAGAACTGTATTTTTTTTTAAATTGCTTTTCCCCTCTGATTACTGTAGAAGATATATAGAAAACCTAGAAAATTGAAACATATGATAATTAAAACACTGACTCCTCAAATCTACTCTACTATCAACATTTTAGAATTTTTCCCTTTGGGCTTTTTCATGCCTGAATTTAAGGCCAGAAGGTCAGATGGGCTCTGTTATAAGAACTGTTGAAAACAATATTAACATGAGTACTAATGAAAATAACTAACTTTTCGAATTGAGCCCCAATTATGGGCTGGGCACCTTTCTATGTTGCACACATTATCCCATTTAATTCTTGCAGAACCTGATGAGATTTAGTGAGTATCATCCCATTTTAAAAAAAGGAAGAAGATGTCAGAGCTTTAGGTTAGTTCTCCATTATCCGCACTGTTGAATCAGTGCTGGAACAAAGATAACTCAGAACTCCAGAGGCCATTTCCATTTGTCTTTGGGATGCAAGAAGTTGTCTCCCTCTTTTACCCCTTATTCCCCCAGGTTTACCCCTTGACTTATCCGGATCTAGTTGCTGTGACAATAAATTTGCATCCCCTGGGAAAGAGCCCAGGGTAGGGGTAATGGGTGTTGAGGCACATTCAGGAAACCAGGTGGTTAGCAGTGGAGGTCACACTCACCCACGGAGGAGCCACACCCTTGGCTGTGAGTTAAATGAAGTTGAATAATTATCCTCATGTTGGCAGCTCCAAGTACTAGCCCAGACATGCATAGGACACAAAGGGGGTCCCAGGCTTCCTCCTTGGGGGCTCACAGGCTGATGGGAGAGAGTCAGCCCCTACCTTGAGGGGACGCTCTTCCAAGGAAGGGAAAATAGCCCTTGTCACAGGGCATTCTATAGTCCCATGAAGGAGGATGCTTCCTGTACTCAAGGGAAAATCCAGAGTCAGGGAGGGGACATGTCTCCCAGTAGGACAAGAGAGACTCTACATCTGCCCAAAAGGCTCACAAACCAGAGACACTGTATAGAAACAAAATCACCCCATTTCATCAGATCTAAGGTGCCACTGATTGTGAGATGCATCATTATTTCATACACTGCAAAGAAGGAAAAACACTGGCAATTAAACTATGATGATGTCATCAGACATAAGACTTATCTGATTAATTTCAGAGATATAAAAATATATTTGAAAAACAAGGCGGCTCGTGCCTGTAATCCCAGCACTTGGGGAGGCCGAGGCAGGCAGATCATGAGGTCAAGAGATTGAGACCATCTTGGCCAACGTGGTGAAACCCCGTCTCTACTAATAATACAAAAATTAGCTGGGCGTGGCGGTGCACACCTGTAGTCCCAGCTACTCGGGAGGCTGAGGCAGGAGAATCACTTGAACCTGGGAGGCAGAGGTTGCAGCGAGATTGTGCCATTCCAGCCTGGGCGACAGAATGAGACTCTGTCTCAAACAAACAAACAAAAAAACAAGGTGTTTTTAAACCTACCTAAATGGTTTTTTGTTTAACGGGTGCGGAGTTTCAGTTTGGGAAGATGGAAACGTTCTGGAGATGGGTGGTGGTGATGTAGCACAACAGTGCGAATGTGCTTAATGCCACTGAACTGTACGTAGTTAAAATCGTCAATTCTATGCTGTGCACTGTCTTAGTCTGCTCATGCCACTATAACAAAATACCCAAGACTGAGTAATTTATAAACAACAGACATTGATTCTCACAGTTCTGGAGGCTGAGAAGTTCAAGATCAAGGGGCCAGCAGGTTTGGTGTCTGATGAGGGCCCCAATCTCTGCTTCCAAAATGGTGCCTTGAAGCCTGTATCCTCAGAGGGTGAAAGGAATAGAAGAGCCAAAAAAAAAAAAAAA